AGCACTTTCCGTTTTTCGACAAACCAGCGCCGTTACACTTTGACAAACCATCAGGTCTCACTGTTTCCTCTTTTCTGAGAAATAATCACTCGATGCTTCACAGTCCCATCGCAATTCTGTTTTCTTTTTATGTCAAAGAATCCCTTCGAGTTCGTTTTGTAAGAGCTATCTGCAAAATTAACCGGTCTGAGCAGGTTGGCTATTATTTCTAGTCGTCTCTGGCTTTACTTTTCTGTGCAAGCTATAACCCGCCCACATCTATGTCTAGCCGATCTTAATCCGGTAATGCAATCCTGTTGAGCAGATCTTCACTAACGCATATGACAAATAGCCGTCCTTATCAAAGTTAAGAGGGATTCGGAGCTCTTAAAGTAAATGGTTCTCGTTTACAGTTTCAAAAAGCTTGTATAAACAACTAATTTCATATTAAGGACTTTCAAGCAAAATAGGAACTAATGCGGTTCCAGTCTACTGAGCGTAGCAGTCTTACATGACTCTATCAGCTTCTCAGCCCATCCAGGGTCAACCGTCCATTAGAACTATTCGGACAGGGAGAGTCGTATTGACGACCTTAGGATGTGGGGGAGGGTCGTGAACTTTTTAAAAAACTAGAAATGTGACGATTGATTTTGAACTCATCTCTTTCCTTTCATTCCTCTTTTTCCGTATCTGTATTCCGGAATCTTTTTGTTATTTCAGGAGCATTAAAACGTGTTGTGTTCTTAGAAATACATGATTTCAGCCGAAGAAGTTCCACCGGAGCTATTTTTCCCTGATTATTCACGTGCTCAACGCAGAAAATGCTACAATGAAGAGTTTGTGTTGGCCTTGACGGACGTGAAAGGCGCCCGTAAAAACGCTTACTGCCTCAAATTTCTGAACTCATGCGATGTTCACAGTGAGTGACCTGATTTGATGCAATCGAATTTATACGATTTGAAATCGACACATTCGTTCGATGAGAGAAAGAGGACCGAAAAGTCGTGGAATTTTTATTGTTTTATTTCAGAGAAGGGTTCATACCCTGGTGTGTTAGTAGTGATATCTCCCATTCGTAACGACATATTTTATTTGGATTTGGCTCGAACTATTCATAAATACCTTGAACGTGGCATCATCCGATTGACTTGTTTCTTGGAAGCGATTGTGAGGCATAGCTATCCGCAAGTGAAAGGTTTGGTTTTTTCTTCAATTTTCAATCTTGGGAATTTTTTTTCTCTGAAACCGATGTACATGCGTTTTGTTAGAAGATCACTCGATTCTTATTAGAATTCCCGATTCTGTCGCAAGAACACCTTGGTTGCTTTTGCAGCGGGCAAACACTTATGTACGTTCACGCGAACTCAGCAAATGTTCTCCCATCTTTTTTTTCCTTGTTACAACCAATCTGTAACAGAGTGAGCCAAGTATCGAGAGTACGTCTTACCCATCTCCTCCTCCACCCTACCGCCCATTAGTTGATAATACCCCCAGTTAGGTTCTGCAACTCATTTTCGTTTCTCTGACTCCCATCCAGCAGTCCTCTATCATTCTAGAATACCTGAAAACTGTGTCAGTGGAACAGGTGGGGCGCAGTGGGAGCTGGAGAAAAAGGAAGGGGTAGGAAGCAGAGTCAACCCTGCGTTG